CGCCTCAAGAGAAGCTTGTGAAAATCGACTGTCCCAGTTTTTTGTTAATAGGGACGAGGGTTTCTATGAGAGAGGCATAATGAAATTACCTTCAAAATGGCAACAAGTTATCGAACAAAACGGTGCATATTTGACCTAAATCGGATCATTCTAACTATGCTAAATAAAGCCTTCAATTTTATGCAAAAATAATAGATTTCTTTTTACTACACCTTATATTACAACAAAAGACATAAAGTACCCACTAAGTATAAAATAGGTGATTACGTACTTATCAGAGATACCATACGAAAATCAAAAGCTAAAACCGGCATATAAACCACTATACGAAGAGGGACCCAAAAAAAACGGGAATTTCGTCATAACTTCTTTATTTCTCAATATTTTAACACCAAATTTTAATCACCTTCAAAGTATTCGCCATTGACCACAACGCACTTTTCCAAACGATTCTTCCATTGTTCAAAACAGTTTTTAAATTCACTCATCGGGATGTCCTTTAATCCTTCCAGCGATTTTTGTTTCACCTCCTCCACAGTGGCAAAACGCTTTCCTTTCATATTCCTTTTGAATTTGGGGAACAAAAAGAAGTCACAGGGGGCTAGATCCGGTGAGTATGGGGGGGTGGACAATTGGTGTCATGGCGTTTTTGGTCAAAAATTGCTTCACAAAATTTCACAGCCGCGCGTTGTTCTCGACAATCTGCCATTATGTTTTCGCCGAAATGTAAAAAGTTGTTTTACTAAAAAAAATCTCACAGGCGAATCGATGCACAGTAACACAACTTCGCACACTGACGCAGGTGGCGTGACACTAACGGACATGTGGTCAAACAATAGGTTCCCCCACTCTCCCTCCCCACCACAGCGTAATTCCCGGAACTTATGGGTCCCCCCTCGTATATGGTCACTAAAGTATTGAATAAAAATAAATATGTCATACAGGACGTTTTAGGATTTAATAGGTCACAGAAATTCTATAATTCTATTTTGTCGTCAGACCGGCTTAAATCCTGGATCAAACCTGTTTCTCCTTAAACAGTTTGTATCAGTATTAACGATTATTAGACGTAAGCGATTAATTACAATAATAAGTTATTGTTAAGTCTAAATATAAGAAATCCTTTTAACAAAAATGTATTGTCGTTTAGAAAATATTTTACGATGTGCGTCGGCATAATTATTAATTATCTAATATTTTGTTTATTTTAGCTGGACAATTCTAAGTTGGACTACTCTTAATTTTATATCAATTTTATGTTTTTATTAATTTTATGTACTTCAGCGAAGGTCACACCTAATTGTATTAGTTGATGTTCGAGGACGAACACCTTTTCAGAATGGCCAAGCTGTAAGATGACCTTCAGTCATAAAAAATATAAGTTTAGTTTTCGTGTCTCATAACTGGCGGCGTTCCGATCAACCCGCCATCGTCGTACACGATTGACCGTGCCTTGCGATTGGCCTGTCGACAATATCCTCTCGGGATTGGTTGAATTGTAATAGTGGGACAGAAAGGGAGAGATCCTTAGCAATTCCTTTGCAGTAATAGGAGGTGATAAGAATTCGTCTGCTCTAATAAACTTTGTGCTCATGCGTAAAATGATGAGGCAGCTCGATCCAATGATGGAACATACGGAGCAATACGAAATACGGGTGCTTCTGGGACTCCTATATATCTAAGTGACTAACCGTCCCAAATTAGGAGGGACAATCTCAAATTTTAACACTTTGTTCCGCTTTACAACCCGTTCTAAATTTTTTCCTAAAGAAAAAAAATTAAGGTTATAGTAATGAATTATTTCTCTTTTAACCTCTTAAGTACTGTACGTCATTATAGTGACTTTCTCGAATGCTATTTCTTTGAACGATATGTTGGTATTCATATGATAAATCGGTTGCAGACATAATAAAAGACAAAATTTATTATTATTCATAAACACACTATGTATCTTTAATAAAAAATCTTCCTTTTCTCCCTACAACTTTCTTAATATCGTTATTAGGGATCTTATAATACCATGAAATGTGTACGTCAGTTAAGACTGCTCAGCTTTACGCATGTGTACAAAGTTTCCTAGAGCAGACGAATTCTTGTCATCTCCCACCACTGTTCCTTTGTAAAGAATATAGTTCGTTACCAGACTTCGAATAAAGAAGAACTCAGTTAATATCGTCGTTTATATACGACGTTAGAGTTACGCCCTTTCCTTCCAAGGAGTTTCTTAGATTATCCCTCCTTCGGATTAATTCTGACAACATTCCCTTCTCTTTTGAAATGTTACGTATTTCGGAAGGTATACATGGGATCGTGTTACTGCCTTACAATACAAGCTTTCAAACCATCCTTTAAAGATTCCAAAACAAAATGGTTAGGTTAAGCTTGTAGCACATATAATGATGTAAAACAGAAGAAAGTACATATTAAATGTAGAAAAATGCAGACCTTCATTATCACTATAGGTCAATTATACATAAAAGTACGACTAAACCGAAGCAACTATTTACAAACTATCACTCGCTTAATATTCCAAAAACCATTGCTTAAAACATCCTCAGACACATTTTCACAAAGATCGTCTTATTTATATGTGCGTGAAATAAAGCTGTCTTAAAATGACTATGAATTCATGGTTAACAAGATAACCTCAATCAAATGCTTAGATGTGTTTATGAATCACATACAGACTTTTTTAAATAAGATAATCTTGAACAAGGTGTATGTTTTGAGTACTTAAATCCCGCCTTCTTTTTTTACTACGAATCTAGAGGGCATTTTAAGACTATGCTCAAGGCGGTCTTAAGAATAAGTTTTAACTGAATACGGCCCTTATTATAGATATTCTAGAGATGATTATCAACATTTTTGTTTAATTGCGCATGCTGTTGATTTTCATTGTTAAGGCCGCAACACAGACTTTTGCATAACGCACAAAATGCATAGTGCATAAGCGAATCAACTAATCAGAATCTTTTCTTTCCTCCCATTCGCTAAAAAAGAAGGATTTCGATTGATTAATTCCCTTATGCACTATGCATTGTGCGTTATGCGAGAGTCTGTGCTGCGGCCATTAGGTGAGTAGATTTCAGAAGCTTATGTATTTTGAAATGAGGGCAATGATTGCTAGGTATTGACCAATTAAATTATGAAAATTCTGTGAATTTGCTCACTTTTGTAATTTTCACCTTATTTCAAGATACATAATCGACCCCCAGGAAAGTAATATATCATCCCCCTCAGCTTTCAAAGTTCTATGCGTGACTCAACATTAGACAAAGATAAAGATGCCATCCCCAGAGAGAATCAAGGGAGAATGGAGCAGATAAATTCTCTTTTCTGATTTCCGCCATGTCTAGTGCACTTTCGCGAATGTGCATGTGTGTATATGTACATGTATGTCATGTACTAGTGCGGTACTAGTGTGCGCAGTATCGTACGTTCTATCACGCTCCTACTATATCTCCTACTCACTTTAACCGCAGTATAACCAGTAGGGACACTCAGCGAAAAAATGCGTGTTCGCGCAGGTATGGCTGCGCAGCTTTTGTTTTGGGCCGGATCCAATGAAATGCAAGATGATAAGAACGTACATATTACACAGATCCCGTGTGAGCAGATATCCGTGGCAAAAGAAGACAATTTAAGAGCTGCGCCTTAAATATTTCTAAAAAAAATGGATAAAAAAAGAAAAGTTATGTTATGTGCAGTATTAAACAATGCAGTAATAATAATAAAAATTCACAATGCACTTTTTTTCGTTATCCCAAAGATATCGAAAGGTAAGTTTTTATAATTTACAAAAAGTAAGTAGTTTATGCTAAGTTAACTTAATTAAACATAATCAAATGTAATTTTGTGAAATAAGATAATATTTTTACATTGACTACGTTTACATAGCACCTTTAATTATGTTTTTTTAGAGCAAAACAATGGACTATCGCATGTCTTCGAGAAGATCTTACATCTGAACCGCACTTATTGGATAACAAGTGTTATAGAGTTTGTAGCAATCATTTTGAAAATATCATGTTTACAAACTATTTAAGAAATAGGTTGTGTCATAACGATTCCAACTTTAAAAATAACAAATATTGGAAATGATGAGAACACTTAGGTCAGTATGTCATTCTATAGATATTTATAATAACATGTATTTAAAATAAAATATAGTGTAAAAACATTTTGTTTGATTATAAGATAAATATTAATTGACAATCTAATTCACAGCAATTTTAAATCAATTTGTGCAATTGAATTAAAAGTGCTATGTCCAATGTGTCAAATGCAAAGACATAAAGCGTAAACCGTCCATATCTAAATAACATATTAAAGATGGTCAACAAAAACAACATATAATCAAATAACATAACATTCTTAATGTCATTTAATGCATAACATTTTCTATTTTTTATTATTTTAAATAAATTATCATTTAATGTATGTTTTTACATTTTATAATTTTAATTAATACAGTTTCTAATCATAATAATTTTCTTTTGTAGAATAATGCAGGTTTATCAGTATCTTCACAATCATGTAATAGAATTTTGAAAACACACACATTCCCGTCTTTACAAGTATTGATTATAATTATACTATACATATACAATATAAATATAAATGTAATTGTGAATAGAATCAAAGATTAATATTCTATTTTTGCAATTTATAGAAAGTACCAAATGATTTTATTAAAAAAATCAAATTTGTTAAATTCTTTTACTTTATACATATATCTTTGATGAATCGGAGGATATTACTATATAATAGAACAGATATAATAAAACAGGAAGCAGTATTAGCATAAAGAGACGTACACGCTTCGATTTTTCAAATTTCAAAACTCTGAATTAATTTACCAATTGTAAGGTTCCTATGCAAAATTCTCCAATTTGTGATACATCCAAACTTTCTGCAAAAAAATAAAGATTAACATTTCATAATGAACAGATTTTTTAACATCAGTCATTATCTCAAAAAAATAAAAGTGTTCAAACATCACATACATTAAGACATTTGTATCATAACCGGTTTGAATATAAAAAATTGCGAATGAAGATAAGACAACTTGAATTAAAATTAATGCGTAAGAAGAAAAAAAACTTAAAAATTAATAGATTAGGAAAAGAGAATTTTGATGATTTTAAAAATGCGATAAGTTTTTACTTTGTGAAATGGCTACGTTTTTTAACAGCAGTTTTTACTTTGTAAAGTAAAAAAACATGGTCAATATTTATAGAATTTAAGGAATATTGTTTCCGACTTTATTTCAAAGGTCCAAAAATGTATAAAACGTTATCTTCAATTTTTATTTTGCCATCGATTAAAACTTTGAAGAGAATTATTAATAGAAATTTAGTTATAAAATGTGGTATAAATCAAAATGTCTTTGATTTTATGTCGATGAAAACTAAAGTTATGAAAGAAGAAGATACGTACTGTACAATTAGCATTGACGAGATATCAATTAAATTAATAATTAATTCTCACTTACATTATAATATAAACAAAGATGAAGTTATTGGTTTAGTTGATAATGGTCAATGCAAATTGTTCAAACCAGCACGGCAGATGTGCGTTTTTTTAGCGCGATGTATATTTGATACCTGGAAGCAACCATTATTTTCTGCATCCATGACTAATTTTAAAATTTTAAAAGAATTGATTGAATGTATCATTAAATTACAGAATATCAATTTGAAAGTGGTATCTATAGTTTGCGATATGATATCTAATAACATAATGTTGGCAAATCAATTAGAAATCACACAAGAAAATCCTTTCTTTACAATAAATGATGCTAATATTTTCTTTATATATGATGTATCACACATATTCAAGGCACTTCGGAACATGTTTCTAAAATATGATTTTATATTTACGAAATATCGTGCTTCATTTAAGCATATTAATGAATTTTATGAAGATTCTAAATGTATAATAATTAGTTCCAAAACTAACAAATTCTCATATCAATCCGAGTTGTTTTGAGAAAATGAAAGTTCGATACGCAGTTCAATTATTAAGTACATCAGTAACAGTTGGTATGAATATATATATTCATTTTAATAGATTACCTGCTGAAGCTACTGGTACAGTCACTTTCATTGATCGAATTGATAAATTATTTGATATCTTAAACTCAGCCATAAAATACAATGAAGAGAAAAAATATGCTCACGTTTTTAAATTTTCAAGTTAAATTTTTAAATGATTGTATTCATTTTTTTGTATCACTACGACTTTTTGATGTTAGACTATTAAACGTAACTTATAAAGAATAAAGTTTATTTCGGGTTGGAAAATAACAATTTCTTCTGTGCTAAAAATATGAAATTTTTTGGAATCAAAAGGATTTAAGTTTCTTTCAAGAAAGCTGGATCAAGATTCACTTGAAAATTTATTTAGAAAGATTCGTGAGAAAGGAGGAAATAGTTTAAATCTAACACCGATTTTTTTTATCAGATCATTTAATACATTACTTTGTCATAATTTTCTGAATACTGGTCATGAAAACTGTGAAGATGACTTTGATAATATTTTTAATACAAATAAATGATTTAAAAAAATTTGAAGCTAATGAATCTAATGAAGAAATTGATGAGATCACTAACAATTTTACTTCTAATGATACTGATTATTAAAAACTTAAAATGATGGAAAAAAATTCAATTAGATACATTTCTAGATATTTAATAAAAAAATGTCTATCACAACATACATGCAATATCTGCAAAGAATATAGTATACCGAATTTGATGATAGTTCTTTATTCTCTTTTTTTAAAGCTTATCAAATAAATTCTTCTAATTTTGGAACACTTCATATGCCATATAATAAATTTTATCTATTATATTTATAATTTAAATAATATTTTCATTAATGTTTTAAAAATTTTGTCGTTGAAAAAAATGTTATAAAAAAGCTTTTAATAGAATTCAACAAAGTTATTTTTATTCATCCATGTGATCAATTTCTACATATGTACACAGTGCGACAATATGTTCCCGGACACGAACCACATCTCAGCAACCAGTGGCAACATCTGTGCGTTCAAACATGCATTTGAAAGGTTTAACATTTCCCTATCTATCAAAGTTTCATTCATTTTGGTTGACATATAACGAAGATATCACAGTTCATGTTAAACAAGATTTTGGTCGAGGTAGAAATTTTAATATGGAACAAAGAGCAGTGATTAAATTTAACGCAAAACTTTGGTAAAAGTGCATCAGAAACATTCCGATTGATGCAACAAATTTACGGCAATCAATGTCTAGGTCGTACAGCTGTTTTTGAGTGGCATAAGCGTTTTTTGGAAGGCAGAGAAACCCTTGAAGATGACAAAAAATCAGGACGGCCAATTTTGGTTCGAACACCCGAAATGATCGAAAAAGTACGTAATTTTGTTGCAAACGATCGCAATGCGTCACTAAAAATGATGGAGGAGGCTTTAAATATCAGTAGAGAAACGATTCGAACCATATTACATGAAGATTTGGGTAAAACGAAGGTTTGTGCGAAGTTTGTTCCACACACATTAAGAAGCGATCAAAAATCAATGAGAATCAATCATTCCAGAGACATTTCTACCTCGACCAAAATCTTGTTTAACATGAACTGTGATATCTTCGTTATATGTCAACCAAAATGAATGAAACTTTGACAGATAGATAGGGAAATGTTAAATCTTTCAAATGGATGTTTGAACGCACAGATGTTGCCACTGGTTGCTGAGATATGGTTCGTGTCCGGGAACATATTTGTCGCACTGTGTATATCTAAAAAAAACTTTATGCTGGAATGCGATTATACTATACGCTAAAATGTATTAATCGCAATTTTAAATCGCCAAAAAAACCCACAAAAATTAATTATATGGAAACATGAATAATTTTCATTATTTTTCAGCAAATGTTGCAAATTGTAATTAGTATATCGGTATACGATATTAATATATCGTATATTAATATATCGGTATACATATAATGTAAATTATAAGTCAATGTACTAATATATGATTAAACACATGTGTTTTTATTTTTAAATAAAACTTATTATTCATTTTTTAAAATTACTTCCTTTTTATACAATATACGTAACTAATAATACACTTTTATAATTATGTTTAATTAGATAAAACCACAAATATAATTTTTTTTTATTTTATATCTATATTTATGTAAGTAAAATTTATATTATATTCTTGATATTTTTTAACGAAAAATAATTAAATAAAAATGTTTGTTTCATAATTATTATTTAACTTAATAAATTTGATTTATTTATTAGTTCTTATTATTTTCGAATTAATTTTGTTCATTAGTTTGTATTTTTGTAAAATTTAGTGTGATTACATTATTACTTAGGGGGCATTATATCTTCTTTCGGTCTTAGATTTTTGAAACGTTAACGTGGCGGATGCTCACGTGACTGCGACGTGGAGTGTTCTTACTGGTTGTAATGTGCTTCAATGATACACTATATATATATATAAACATGGCGGCTTCCGGATGAATTCGCTTCATTCTCCCTTGATTCTCTCTAGCCATCCCGTATTCTTTCCTTTTCTACTGCCTAACAGTTCCACTTACAGGAGCCCCTATCCTTTGCGCACTCTATATATATATATATATATATACAATCTCTTTGATTGAAACAAAATCCACCGAAAAATGGTCAAGCTCTGATTGGTTGCAACAGATAAACATGCGCAGGAACACACCATGCCTACTTGCATCATGGGTTTAAGATGATTTATATGAGCAATTGTTTTTTCGTCGGAATGGAGTTAAAATTATAGTAATATGACATGTGTAATATATGATACATAAATAAAATTTTCAAATATACAAGTAAAAAAAATGCCATTAAAAAAGGAGCGTAGAAAAGGCAAAACTGCCAAAAATGAAAAAAAAACGTTAGAGACACAAGGCACTATAACATGTCACTTTATCAGTACGCATTCATTACATCTAATTTAAATAAAGATTTTATATGGAGGTGAAAACGTAAACTTTATATAATATTCCAATAAAATACTAATACCCGTGTTCATAGTCAGACCTACTTATATATAAGGTTCCTTAAATTTATCTTTAGATGCTCAGTAGTTACTGAAATAATTCATAGAGTATCTGAAGATAAATTTAAAGAAGCCTTAAATATAAGGCCTGATTATGAATACGGGTGTAAATCTCATAATAAAAATAATGTGAACATTATATAAATAATTTAGTAATATGTGTCATAGCCATTGCTTTTTGATGTATTCACATTCAAAAACTATTCTATAAGAATTATTAAATATAATTTATTATGTATTTTGCAGCTCCAGGGCCTAAATATCATCTTAAAACACTTGTCGGCCACAAAGATCATTGTATTTCAAGATATCGAAACCCAGCATATACATTTGAAGGTCGTCGTGTTATCTTCGAAGTGGCAAGAAGTCCAGGACCGAAGTACATAATCAAAGAACATAAACCCAAGGGATTTACCTTTGGACATACCTTGAAACGTCGTGGTAAAAAGATTTGAACATTTAAATCAAATCATGCTCTAATTGTATAAAATATTGTTATAACATCCGAGATAAGTTTTTTTCAGAATTTTTATACAATTTTTTTAGATTTTTTTTGTAAACTTCCGAATTTTTCAAAATTTATGAATAACTTTGCAAGTTTTTAGAAAATTTTTCAGATTTTGTAAAATACAAATTGGAACACATTTCTAAAGTGTTAATAAAATTTATATCCATTCTAGAATTTTTTATATATGCGTGAATTCTGAAATATTATACAATTTTAAAATTTCTCATTTATAATTTTACATATAATTTCACTATTTCATAGTTCTTGATAAAATCTTATAAAAAGACTCCACACAAAACATAAAATGGGTCCCGGCTAATTTGGCTGAATTTGTAATATGTTATTAGTTCTGATCATCCTGATCAAAAATCTCCATGGACACAAAGTAAAATAATGAACAGTTTTTGTACATCAAATTCTGTCAAAACAGATTTTGGCAGAGTTTGATGTACAATAACTAAAAAACTGTTCATTATTTTATTTTGTGCCCATGGACTTTTGATCAGGACGATCAGGATTACAACATATATTGTATAAATCCAGCCAAATTAGCTAGGACCCAGCTAATTTATTTTCCGTATGTTTTATACGGGGTCCTTTAAAAAAGTTTCCGGTATTTCTTTAGAAATTATAGAATGAAAAATTTTAGAATATTTTAAAATATATACATATAGGGTGTTTCAGGATTTAATGGACAAACTGCAGGAGCATATTCTACGTACAAGTGAGAATAAGAAAAAAATCTTATATGAAGTTTAGCTAGGAATGCTTTATTACAAACTTACAAACAAATATTGAAACGTAAAACAGAAAATAATGGATTTTCCATTGCAAAATATTAATAGAATGATTTAGTAATGCATTTCGAAATGTCATCCTTGTGTAGCAATACAAGCTTAACATTGATATAATATGGAACTTATTACGGTATGAATTTCCTAAAAATTTTGTTGCATCTTGATAACTGAATTATTAATTCATTGCATTAAATCTTTATTCGAAATCACCTTTGTATTATAAACCTTATTTTATAAAATTTCATATAAATAAAAATCAAGACATTAAATCTGGCGATCTTGAAGGCCAGAGAATCGGTCTCCTCAACCAATCCATCTATGAGTGTAATTTCCATCCAGTTCCTTATTTGTCTATTGCTCGTATTCATAGTCCTTATATTTAAATAACGGATTTTGCATTGTTCAGAAAATGACAGTGTACATTTCATGTATGGAAAGGTCGAATGTGTTAATTTCGTATGTATTCACATCATATTTACTATCTTTAAACGTTATATGCCCATATTCATAGTCAGACCTTGTACTTAAGGCTTCTTTAAATTTATCTTCAGATATTCTACGAATTATTTTATTGGTTATTGAGCATCTAAAGATAAATTTAAGGAAGCCTTAAGTACAAGGTCTGACTATGAATATGGTCATATATCGTTTAAAGATAGTAAATATGATGTGAATACATACGAAATTAACACATTCGACCTTTCCATACATGAAATGTACACTTTTATTTTTCGTGCAATGTAAAATTTGTTGTTTTCTATTTCATGTTTTGTTTGAATATTTGTTTATAACTTTGTAATAAAACATTTCTAGCTAAACTTTATATAATATTTTTTCTTATTTTTACTTATAGAATATGCTCTCACAGTTTGTCCGTTAAATCCTGAAACATCCTTATAAAAAATTCTAAGAAAAGATGTAATAGTCTGGGAGGTGATGACACAAAAATGGTCTTTATTTGTTACCGCTTGAAACCATAATTAATTCGTCATTTATTAGGTAAACATGAAGGAAATGCAAGTATGACAGACTTCTCGCAGATTTAAAATTAATGACGTATGATTGAAGTTGTAAAAAATTTTTTGCTTTTTTCTTAATATGTTATCTGCTACGTTTGTTTCTAGCGATAGTTTACGTCAAAAAACCAATCGGAAAGTAGGTGCCATACCGTTTCTATGGGTCAAAGGGGCCTCTAAACTAAGCTAAAGTGGTACATTCCTTAATGAAAAAAAAAAAAAAAATTTGATACCGGCTGTTTTTTCGTACACTATTTATTTTCACTAAAACTACGAAACATACAAACATACAAAAATACACATGCCATATACTGTTTGAGTGGACCTAAGGAGTCGCTATGCTAGTCCTAACACTCCTCACATGTCGAATTTTACGAATGTCGAATTCGACACGTTAGGACAAGTATAGCGATTCGTTAGGCTATGACAAACGGTATGGCATGTGTATTTTTGTATTGTATGTTTTGTAGTGAAAATAGGTATTATGCAATATTTCAGTAATTATTCTTTTTTAGTTTTATTAATTGTTAACATACGAGGGCAAGTCAATAAGTTTTTAGAAAAAGTAAAACATTTTTTTGGATCGTTCATTTTTATTTCTCAACATAATCTTTTTTCAGTTCGATACACTTGATCCAACGATTCTTCAACTTTTTCAAGCCGAATAATATGATTTGTCCAACCCTTCAAAATAAGCCTCTGTTTCGGCGATGAGCTGCTCTCTGGTGGTGAATCTCTTTCTTGCGAACCATTTCTTCAGGTTTGGAAACAGGAAATAGTCGCAGGGGGCTAAATCTGGCGAATATGCTGGATGGAAAAGCAATTCGTAGCGGAATTCGTTGAATTTGGCCATCGGTGCCGGGCCATTTTAAAGAAAAAACGTCCCCATTTGGCGAAGAAGAAAGTTTAAAATGTTGTTGAAACGGTCCAATAAGGCTGCGTAGTACTCGCCATTAATCGTTTGCTGCGAAGGTAATCGATTTGAATTATACCGCGTGCATCCCAAAAAACTGTGGCCATCACTTTTTTGGCCGACTTCACGGTCTTCGCCTTCTTCGATTCCCGGTGAAGTCCATTGTTTTGACTATTCCTTCGTCTCAGATATGAAGTAATGGATCCATGTTTCGTCCACAGTAATGAATCGACGCAGAAATTCATCTGGATTACGTTGAAACATCTTCAAACATTGTTTTGAAATCGTCACACGATCGCGCTTATGGTCCACAGTGAGCAAACCCATCTTGCCAATAGTTTTTT